AAGTACTCTAAACTGTATAAATAATGTAAAATTAAATTGAATTTATTAGCCAATCAGACAAACTTCTGCCTATGAGGATAGGCCTTCTTACTGCAAATGTCATAAAAAGTTGGTCGATTAGATAGTGTAAACCAATTGTTGAGGCTATTACTAAAATTGACTGCTCCTTTACGAGATTACATAGTACGACATGAGAATGGATTTTATCAGAATCCAACGTGTGACAATGTACAGATATACGTAATAAGATAACTGCAATGCATCTGCTGTAAAGATTAAGGGATAAACCTATTTACTGTAAATGTCGAAAGGTTGGTTGATTAGCTAGTGTAACCAATTTCCCGGATAGCTTATATGGTTTAAAGTACTTTTTAAGAATATAACGTTTCATAAATAACGAAAAGGACATTTACAGTCTTTAAATGAACTTTAATGATCCACTAAGTAAAAGATGCTAGCTTTGAATGTTTTTGCTAAAAGTTACTTATTACGCTATATCTAAATAAACTTTATTACTTAATACTGAAATTGTTTAGCTCTTGTTACGTATATAAAGGATTAAGTTACAGGCAATGAAAGGCATACTGTTAGACCCGGAACACGTGATCAACTAGTCACCGATTTCGTCGTAAGCTCATCGTCGCACGATCGGTAGTCACGATTTTGCCTCGGCTAGGAAGATCTCACCAAAGTTGGAATCCCATGCTTATAATGATTATAATGCATATATTGCATATATTGATTATAATCAGTATAATCAATATATGCGATATAAGCGCTATCATCATTATAAGCACGATAATGGATATCGGCACCCTAACAATAGATAGAATTTTGCTTATAAATAACCTGTAATTCCGTCCTAATAAGAAGGCGGATTTGAACATAAGAAATAATAAACAACTTACCTTGCATACATCAAATAAAGATTCTTCTACGAGTGACTGTAGAGAACCATCGTCATAATAAAATACTTACCTGTAATAGTAATAAATCCCACCCCCATTAGTCTAGTATTCCCGAAGTAGTGTGGAATAGGGTTGCAGGTGAATTAAAATTCTAATGGTGCATCACTATTCACCAATCACTAATCACCAATCAGCATTGGTGATACTGGTGTTACTGGTGGTGCTGGTGTTACTGGTGGTGCTGGTGATACTGGTGGTGCTGGTGTTACTAGTAGTGCTGGTGATACTGGTGGTGCTGGTGATACTGGTGATGCCGGTGATACTGGTGGTGCTGGTGATACTGATGGTGATGGTGATACTGGTGTTGTACTGGTGATCGTGGTGGTGCTGATAGTAGTAGTACTGACAGTTCTGGTATTGGAAATATTAGTATTATTGGTAATAATAATAGTATGGATAATATCAGTAGTACCAGGAATGGAGTGATGAATATTATGATGTATATGGCTTAGTCGAGAAAGAAATAGTGTGTGTTTCCAAAATCTATTACCCGATTAGTCTGCGTGATCATAGTTGTCACATCTTGTATATTCTTCGCTACAATTAAAATTACGACCCATCTCCATCAAAGTCACAAATCTGCATTACTTAATGATAATTCACTGTTAAAATCTCTGCTAAGTTATGATTTACTCTACAAGTCTGAAATCCACCCATTGCTAAAATCTTTAACTTATCATTACTCAAATCGTAAACTGATGTAAGCTACACACCACATCATATTACTTATCCATCAATTATACCAATGTATGCTAAATGCTCTCAAATAATAATTATTGTACTTGCACATCAATTGCACCAATGTATACTGCATCTTCTCTATATATAATTATTTACAAAGCTACTTGTATATCAATCTCACCAATGTACTCTCAATAATAATTACTGTACTTGCAAGTTGATGTATGCTGCATCCTCTTAATATATAATCATTGACAAAGCTTAACACACAGCATCATTAGCCGGAAGCCAGTCAAAATCCTGCCATTTGTCGTATCTTTAAACTTCATATCTGGCACTGTTGGCCAGATACTTACCTCCAACTAATAATAAATATATCATGTGCTTGCAATACTTTTCAATATTATATTGTAATTAAACATATTTACTAATTCTAAATAAAGTTTCCTGTTCCTGGTTTTAGCGTGATTACATCACGCAGCTACCTAATATTAGTAATACTAACATATTTAGAGTTAACTATATAGCGATTATTAGATAAAAGGATAAATAAAGCTTCAGTTATAATTATTTTCATTTAAAAATTGTATAAAAATAGCGTTAAACTGGCATAATTATTTATATGACAAAGTTTTAACAGAGTAGCTAAATAAATAGATTCTATATTAATAAATATTATGCCTATTTGCAATATTTTACTTGACATCATAGTTATAATAATAAACAATT